GGAAGAAATGGAGAATGGAAGGTGGAATAGAAGAATCAAACACAACTGGCAATCTGTTCATCATTGTAGCTGCGTGAAGGGTACTTGTAAAATTGAAATGCAATTCTTTCTATTTTTATGCGTGAAGAAAAGCTACATATGCAAGTGTTCTTTTATTTTTCATCGATAAGAATTGATAGCAGCATGAAACTACCACAGAGGAGTAAAGAAAAGGAAGGCAAAATGAATGCATTGGAAAGGGTTGGAATCAAAATGTACTAGGAAAGGGAGGTGACAAGGCCAAAGGAATGCAGAAGTGAAAAATTAATTAATTAATTAAAGGACAAGTCACTTTGGTTACGGAAATCCTTTCCAGATCATTTGCATTGGATCCAGAAATAAAATAGAAAACAGAAAGTGTTCAACCTTCCCTGAAGTTCCTTCCTGAAGTGATTTCTTATCACCTACCTTCCTTTTATAACTTTGCCCAGGACTTAATGGAATTTTCTTCCTTGAGTCACTCACTCACTATAAATCTCTTATTCCACAACCCTGTCAATCTGAGTTACTAGAAAGGTATTCTTCCTCAAATTTGCTTTAGCACATATCCACCACTGGAGAATAAATAGCACGGTGCCCAGAAGTGTACTCCCAGCCCCCAGCAGCCCAGTTCCCAGCTGGTCCCTCCACCTGCCCCGTGCATTAGCCAGCCTCAGAGTCATCATTTATGAAGAGGAGATTGGATAGTGCCCTTAGAATAGTGTTTCTCAAACCATAAGGTGCATAGGAATCACCTGGGGGGCTTGTTAAAATGTAAGTTTGATTCCCAGGGTCTCCAGAGGGGCCAGAGATTCTGCATTTCCCAAAAGCTTCTAGGTGATGCCAAGGCTGGTCTGAGGACCATCCTCGGCACCCCTCTGGGCCTCCTCTGCCCTTGCCCCCACCCACAGGGGAAGGAATGAATGGAGCCAAAGGGACCTGACCAAAGCCTATTTCCTCACTTTCTATCTCACTCTCTGGGCCTTAAGATACCAGCTTCACCTCCAGACTCAAGCTTACCTCTATGGTTCACGGAAGCCATTTCCTGGTCATAAGTGGTTCTAGGGCCAAGTGGTTAAAAACATGTAAACACAGGCTAAGGAGTCCGAATCTGTACAGGAGAGGCTCCCTGCAGTGCAAGATGGAGTCTGAGGTGGGAAGGAAGGGGCAGGGCAGACCAGGCT